ATGATCGTGCACGGCTCGACGAATGATTCGTTTACGATGGGACGAGATAGACGCTAACGAACACCTTCGTCTCGAAACGATTGTACAGTATGTAACGAACGAAAGTAAACGCTGCATCGTCGAGTTAAAAAACATTTTGGCAAACTATCTCGATGGGAAAGTTTACTATCGTTCTAAAGTAATTCGAAACGAATAAAAAATATCGTATGGGATTACTACGATGTATTCTGAATTATGAAAGGTAAAATATACATGGGAGAACTAAATTAAAAACTGTCTGTTTACCAACTGTCCAGTCACCGCGAAGTTGAGACTTATGTCACTGGATTATAAGTCGTGATTTCGTGTCACGTGAGAACGTATCTACTAGTACTACATTTGATTACTGCTATAGCATCGCATTAAAGTCGTTAACACTGATGACAATAAAAGTCTCGAGTAGTTAAGAGATACGATCGTGTAGACCTTCGAGCATCTGGTCAGTCAAAACACAGTAGCGTTCGAGGACGTTCCCAACAGTTGCATTATAAAACTTGTATTTTATCGCTCATGTTTATAAATATAGAGTGCAAGCGTTTTAATTTCGAAAACGTTGCACAACAAATTTATCAAACATTCTCGAGAGATAATTAAGGGAAAAAAAAAAGATTCTTTGCAACGATTCGAGCAGTTTTATCATCATTCGGTGAAATTTATTTTAATCGTGTAAACCTTTTTGACTCTACAAGGTCGAATGAAGGCCTATGCTGTGCTTAGAAAAAAATGCTATCGGTACATTGCACCAAATATCTATTGCAAAAATGTTTCGATAACTTCATCCCCTATTTAGATACTTAACAATTCCACTTTCAACGAAACAACACCCCATACATTGAACATGACCGATGACTATCGAAACCATTGCAGCTAGAACGAAACTAACGCAGGGATGAAATAAAGAACGACAAGGCATCGAATAAAAATGGATCACCTAAACCGGGTTTTCAAAGTGAGGAAATCTGTTCCACTTCCGATACTGTATTGGAAGTGTTCCAGCGGTTCTAGGTAATTCCGAGCGACAGAAGCGTCCCTCCTTATCCGGGATTTACTTCCTTTCCTTTCCTTCTTTCGTCTACTCGATCCGTAATCGTCGGTACACGTCGTCTACACAACTCCGCCACGTACGAACGTAATGTAATCGCGGATATTGCCCGCTAGCGGTCACGGATACATGGATTTATTTTCGTCGTTCCGACGAGCTTTTCCGCGTCGTCTGGCGGTCTGTTTACGGCCGAATGGGAATTTGCTCGCAGGCCAAATATTATTTCGTCGACGGATCCCTCAGACTTTTGCGATCTTTTCCTTCCCCTTTGATACGTTTCGCTTTGTTCGTATTCCGAACGTTTCTGCGCCATCGCCTGCTCGCAGTCGCGACCGTAACGATGTATTTCGACTCGATTCTCGCGACTCTAGGTTTGTTTACACTTGAGCAACGTGGATCTACGGCTGACCTGACGTTTGTATTCGAGGTTTTGAACAGCAACGTTTCAGCCGTCGAGAAATCTTTAAACTTCTTTAAATTCGAACGTACATTTGTTGTGAACGAGGCGTAAAGAGCATTTATTTCGGAGTATACATACGTCTGCTAAGAATAATCTTTTTAAGGGCACGGACGTTCGAAGTCAGGTCACTGGACTGTCTATGTAACAAGTAGCAGATGCTATAATATAATTGTCCCTTACACCAACGAGTCACTTCATTTGGGAGCAACATCTTAGATTTTGACAAAATTTGGATAGAAGGTAGTCGTTAGCGCTAGGAAAATATTTCCAGAGTCACCGTACCGAGGATGCACCGTGTTACAAAAACGCCTTAACCCGTGCATTACCGATAAAAATAACTACGTTAAACATCTAAAAATCGTCGGCGTACGGACGGACGAAAGAGAAAACAAAAAAATTAGCTTCGCGTCAATTTCATCGAACGCGTATTTATACGCAAAAGCGATGGGGGCACAGGTATTTAGCGCACAGACGCGTGTGCAAACTCTGTCTCGCGCGCATCAGAGTTTCAGCCTCGTGTGTGCCGACAAGAAGGGAGCGGCGGGGGCGTGGCGGTGGGCATCGACGGGGGACGGGGACAAAGGGGGTTCCGCACGGAACGTGGGTAAACTATCGAGAGAAAATAAATATGGGATCGGGATTCGTTCGACTAACGATCTGAAAGAGAGTCCGTCTGGCGCACGGATCCGCGCGAGTCGCCGTCGTTGCCGTTCCAACGCACTCTCGCAAAAAAAAAGCCTGACAGTACTTTTCAGGTCTGCCTTTTTATTCCGTTCGAGTGACGGCGATGATAAAAAAAAAAAAAAATAACAACACACACACACACACTCACACCTACGTACGCACAGATTCGCACACAAGGAACCAGCGGACTACGGATCTATCTGGCGGGAGAGTCTATGGACCAAGCACCCGATGCGCGGCCCGGTCGATATCGGTAACTCGAATTAGCATGGACAGAGGCTCGACCGGGTACAGCAACGAACGATACTTATCGAAAGTGCGCTCACAATTGAAAGGATTTTCGAACGCGAGGGTACACGCGATGCGTATTCGATATCCGACGCCGGAACGAGACGATAGATTGCAAAGGGGAGCGAAGAAAAAGAATCGCACGACGATGGGTTACCAGGTGCAATTTTCGCAACCTTATTTTCTTGCCGGCGTGCCATTTAAATTGGTGGGCTCGACCGGAGGAAGGTTGAATTTAATTTCACCCCGTGCGCATTATGCTTGGAACGACAACTACGGCGACGACGTACGCGTTCAACGTGAATCGAATTCTCGGAAAAAAGAAAGGTAATTATAGAGAACAGGTACATCCTCTCCGAATTCGAGGATTTTTAAATATGTCGTAGAAATCAACATTTTGAACAAGTTTTTCCTATGCATGTAACCGTCGCTCGGCCTTAGCTTCCGAGATATTTCGACTCTTTGTTCGATTAAAAAACTTACAGATCCTCGATCATAGATTGAACGACAGTGATTGAAAACCGGCTTACTAAAATACAGGAAAGGCAAAACTAATTGATTATTAACGCAAAACTGATCTCATAGCTCAACATCCAATGTAATCAAACGCTTACACAATCCCGTAGCTCAGCGAATAGTGTAATCAAACGCAAAATGTATCCATACCCGCTCGCTTCCGTTTGATTACATTTAAAAGTGAAAAACGAAACCAGAATGGTTTTCAACCATAAAATAAATCAGTAAATCATAAATCATAAAATAAATCTACCGCATATAGTCAAATATCCACGCAAGTTCATTTTTAATCCTTTGATAGCGATCCGTTCAGTAACGACGTCAGTGTAAAGTAGATTTTTTCTGAGCCTAAACAATCGCGTAAACAATCGACGATTGACGACTCCGCGCAATATTCATTGTTTTAGTAGCAATGGTATTTTTGCAAATATCTCGGACACTAAGGCCGAGCGACGGTTATATCTATAGGAAAAACTTGTTCAAAATGTTGATTTCTGTAACATATTTAAAAATCATCGAAATCGGCGAGGATGTACCCGTTCTCTATAATTACCAAAAGAAAATAGACGTGGACCGAATTGTAACAAACATGCGAGTTTCGCTGTGATACGTAAGATTTTATTATGTCGTAAAAGAGTCGAAATAAATACCGTTTATTGGACTCTGTATCTATTAATAATCCCGCAGATAATTCTTAACAGTTTACTCACCATGAGTGTTTGGATATATAATTAAATTTATTATTTTTTACTTTCGTAACATCAGTATTATAGACTTTTGCTCAAACTCGAAAAAGAATGAAAGAAAAACGAAATCCACGTTTCAATAATGATACGACTATCTCTCGACGTGAGATATGCATCGGAATTCTATGAATTTACTGTAGAATTTTGTAAAAATGTAATAAAGGCATCTGTGCCAATTTTTTCATTCGAACAAAAATCACCTTAAATTCCATATCCTTTAATTTCCCTTGGAAATTAACTCTATACCTCTACATTCGACTATTTATAACTTCAATTTAAACTATATTAAACAGATCTATACGTATACTATTTTGTCACATTAATCAAAATATAATTGAACGTATATAAGCGACAATGAAATATTTGTACTCAAAGTAAAGTTACACAAGATCGACTGTAAAAGTCCAAAATACATTTCTTCCGACATATTATTTCTGACACGTCGCCAGACCTGACGTTGTTACAATTTTCACAGATAATTTCTTTTTTTCGATCTACGCGTAATTTGATTACACGCTCGACTTGTGACAACGCTGTTCGTCGGTGTATATTCGTACGTCGCATGGCACTCATGGCAATGTCAGGGAAACACCGGCAACACGACAACGTTAATCGTATCTTGGAAAGCGATCTGAATATTTTCACGGTTGCTTTGTACCGGTAATCGTCGGGTATTGACAGCAAGATGAAGCGAGGTCACAGGCGCACGTTAAACAATCTCGTCTCGCTCGCGTATAATTTCCCGATAAGTAAAGACGTGTTTGATAAACGGTTCGATCGTGTAAAAAGAAAAAGGAGGAAAAAAAAAAAACGGTCTCGTTCGCGAGTAACACAGGAACAGCCTTTTCGGTGACGCATGACTACAAAACCTAACGATACGCCTATCGTCGTGACGAACGATGGCTAAACACTCGTTATTATTCGTTTACGAGCATTTAAAACCTAGTTCGTTCGGTTAGAAGCACGATTTTGCAATAGTATGTTAAGCTCGTCTGGCGTATCGGTCATGTCGAACTAAATTACACGCCTCAGGGCGATTAAATCCGAAACTAAAAATGCCCGCCTCGTAAACTCGCTGGCGAGATGTCTCAATGCCTCGAATCTTTTCCTATATTTTATTTTTATCGCGAAGTCGTGCCAGTCATTCCTGTCAAGCGTGCACATAGGGAGAGAGAGAAGCGGAAAAAAACTTTGGACCAAGAGAAAAAGAAATAAAACCACTTACCGGGTGCCGTGCCGCAGCTGCCACAGCCACAGCTGCCGCCGCGTTTATACCGGCACTGGGGTACATCTTATCGTCAGAGACCCTCAAAGAGGTTATGTTGCTCCCTCTCGTCACGACGAAGTCCTGTCAGGAGTAATGGATATGTCTCCGTTATCCTCAGGTATATCCAGCGGTATCCCAGGTCATAGCCTGTACGCACTATTATTCACTGGTCTCGGGAAAGAAAAACGTAGAGGAGAATAAAACGAAAAGCACAAGACGGGGCTACAGTCGGCGCGCACACACACACTTCCACTGGTCACTTTCTTCGAGTCCTCCGGGCACTAGCTTGGTAACCGTTTGCACAAAAAGACACCGAGAGAAAAAGCGATGCGCGGTTCCCGGGATACAACGGGAATAAACGACGTCGTCGAATCACGTTAGAGTTACACGATGCGAATACGCGACGACACATAAGACGAGACACAAGTTGAACGATGCACCCTCGACGACGGACGGGTATCAACTAATCAACCGCAGAGCCGAGGGGAAGCGCTTCCCTCTCCTTCGCCCGCTCCGCCTCCCCACTGCTCGCCGCGACACCACGTGGTCTCCCCTCGGTGGCTTTCGGCTCTCTTCGTCGCACGCTCGTACCGCCGATCCGTTCGCCGTCCTTCTCTCACTCGCTGATTCCCACTCTCGTCCGCACCTCCGACAATCGGGCTCTTAGCTCGTTCGTCTCTTTTCCGTCCGCTCCGTATGTGCTCGTACGTTTTCAGCGAGAAGGGAATCCGTTCTCGTCGCGATCCGCTTTGCATTTTTACGTACGCAAAAACGAGATTTGCGCGGTAGATCCCGCGGTGAGTTTGTAGCAGCATTACCGGGCGCGTATTAAATTATTACTCCGAGACACGCTGAACATCGCTAACGCGCGCCGGAAAACCCGTGTTAACCTTCCTCTTCATTACACGCGGAATTGATCGCTTCATAACGAACGGAGCCGCGATTCCTTCCAGGCTTTTATTAAATCATTATAGAGCCTTTGGTCGAATCGAGCGTTTAATCGACGGAAGATCGTTTTCGGCTCTTTCGATTCAGGGATCCTCGATACATCTGCAAAAATGAGAATTACAGGTTTTCAGGAGAAGTAGTTACGGAGTGAACTTCGATGATTGATGAGTGTAGACATTTAGTAAAGATTTTAGTGATAATTAGACTGCGAATATTTATGCATTTGTTCATATCCTTGTTCATAACCTACCCGTTTTCTATATTTACATCTTCCATAAATGCATAAATATACATGAAATATGACAAATAAAATACATGTTGTAATATTTAGAAGGCAAAACATACTTTAATTCAAGTTTCTGTTCTTTATTTGTACTTTATTTGTTCTTCATAGAAACTAATAAATGTAGAAATTAATTTTGTGTCTTTCTAAGGTAAAGTTACCACTTATTTTTGAGAAAAACTGTACAACTGTTTAATTACCAAGAAGGATGATACTCCAGTATAACAAAATGGCAAGTAACTATTTGTATTTAATCTAGATTCATAAATATATGAATGTAAAGATACAGAATTAATTTCACTTACTCATCGCAGTGCTATTTCAATCCGTCTAACTGTTCGCAACGTTCAGCAGATGCTGGAAAATATTGTTTACGTTTCTCGTACTTTGACCTGACTGTGTATAACCGCAGTGTTCGTACATAGCAACATGGTTGTCCGCTACCGAAACTAGAAGGTTGGAATACAATACTGTATTCCACGGTACTTCAATTCTCGGAATAGGTGAAAGTCCTTGTGCTGGTATAAACAACACAGTCTAAATTTCAACAAAACCACTCCTTTAAATCGAACACAGTTTAGTGCCATCTCATCCAGACGACAAGAATTATTCATAAAGTACATTTTCTATATTTAATTGAATGTAAATAACGAGTGCAGACACTTATTGTTAGTCTAGCGTTTGAATACTTTTACTATCAAAACGGATAAATGTATCTTACGTATGCATATACTCGTTAGTAAGATCTTTCATTGAATATAAATGTATATACGTAAATATATATAATAAATGTATATATAAATGTTTCATCGTTTCATCGTCTAACTGTAAATTCAAGCTTTAACCCACTCGTACAACGTTCTTATTTATAAATAGAACTAAAATAAAGATCTGCAATTTTCTCTAACAAAATTATTAACCAACGCCATCAACCAGTGCCTTATTTATTAAATTAAATTGTAGTCCGAGCGAGCACGATTAATTTTCAAATAATTATCTCTCGTTTCGTCGATTACGCGCAATTAGCGTTTCAATAATATCGACGATGGCGAAAGGGTGGAGGGAGGGGAGGGGAGGGGGGGCGGGGGCGGAAATAAAATGATCGCCAGTAGTTTCGCGCCGCGAGCTGGTCGGATACCAAGAAACGGTTCGAACAGCGGAGAAGACCGGCGCGTAAACACGGCAACGAATAAATTCGTTTTTCCCTACGGCGTGTACATTTCCCCTGTAATCCCTCGCCCGTGTCGTTTCAGTCCTTTCCGCTACAATCGCAGAACCTTCTGCCACGGTCTGCGCGTTTCGGTCGGTTTACTTTCGTCCCGTTCGCAGCCACGAATCATTCAGATTGGAGTTCAGGCCTCCCCTGTTCCCTTCAACCCCCCTTTGGTCATCTGTCATCCTTGTCACGCTTGTTTAGTTTCTCTCATTTTCGTTCCCGCTATCTCAGCCACCCGTCCGTTTCATTCTCGACCCCGTATATACAACTCGGCGTGTACCACGCCCTTCTATTCCCCTCGAGAACACACACAGGGCATCCTCCCTCCTTTCTCGCCCCGATCCTTCTTCAGCCTCTTTTCGTCCCAGTGACTCGGTACTCGAGCGCGTCTATATTCAACGTATTACCGTGTACACTTTACACACGTGTTAGTCGAACTGGTTACAGTCGTGTATACATCCCCTATGGACGGGGTGGTAAGCATCGACGACCTTTCCACCTCGACTGGCTGCAAACAATTATTATCGCTTTACCCTAGCCGCGCACGGTGACACTTAATCTTAGCGGTATTCTCCTCTCTTGTTTTTTAACGATACACCTTTATTTCGCATACGGAAACACGCATAATTACCGAATATATCGCAGAATGCTGTGTCAATTTTTCTACGATAAGATTGCACGACGAGACGGACGTTTAATATTTATGCGGGCAATTTACATTTCAATGCGATTAGTTCGAACGTGTTACCTACTGGCTGGCTGACTCATGGTGTTTGCGGAATGAAGTTTTAACGACTTACAACTAGCTCACGTTTAGCTCGCTCCGAGATCGAGATGCCAAAATTATTTATTCGGAGGACCCTGTAGACGTCTGGAGTAACATAAGGTATCGAAAGAAATATTTTGTGCCTCGAAGAGGAATATCATTGCGTTTCGTCCTTGGTTTGCTAAGCGGACTTAGCAAAGGATAGACCTTGACTTAAGCGTGGACAATTACGTGGTAGTTTATTAGTAGATAATTACTTCAAACGGTTGATCAAACAACTAATGGCGTCACGTCTAAAGCAGGACTTGCATGAAAAATATGTGACCACTAATTTACTTAAAAGCGGGGTAGGCAGCGATTACTATCTCGAAACGGAGCCAATGAGGTTGCACACAAGTATATAATCATATAAATAATGGGAGAAAGAGTGAATAAATCGATGTAAATCTGGAGGAGGTGAAACTGTTACTTGGAATTGGGGCGAGGTCACTAATTTCTTTTTTATTTCGTTGTTCGCTTCGAACAGAGCCCTGTACGGCGATGATAAGAAGGATTTGGTTCTCGAATGGTTGAAGTTTGAATCTTGGCGTTATTTAGAAGACACGAAGAATTGAAGTGGGAGTGGAGGGACTTCTGGGACACCGGGAACGAAGTGGAGCGCCGAGTGAGCGGTTTTAACGAGCAGTGACACGCGAGCTGTGTTCGTCACGAAATTTCGCGGTTCGTCCCTGCGGGTCTACGTAACGGACAAATGGAAGAAGAAATTACGGAGGCTCGCTAATGGCACCGTGACCGAGGAACGCGCGCGAACGCGGTTTACCGATCGTAATTTGAGCCGATCGTAACGTAGATAGCACGCAGAAGGGAAATCATTTTTCGTTGATCGCCATGGAGCTGTTGAGAACCGTATCGTAGATATTGTTTCATGACTTTAATCGTGGAAGAGTGGGAGACTCGGTTCAATTGGAGTGTTTTTGACGAAATAGTTTACCGTGACATCGCTTTATGTCCTATCTGTTTGGTAATGTGCTTCAACCAGGTCATCTGGTTTCAGAGAGCATTATTGATTCGACTTTATAAATGCTAGTAAAATAGATGGAAGTTTTTTCAAAGAATCTCGACAAACATTTCAAATGACTGGTGTTAGTTGGAATACTTGTAGATAAAAGATAATTGTTCAAATAATTAGTTCTATTTCTTAATGTTCAACTTCAAGAGTGATTAATATTATTAAACGAATATTTCTGGATTTAATCATAAATCAATTGATAATAAATTGAACTAATAAACAACTGCGATACATAATAACAAAAATCAGATCTTATCTTAATCTGCTTTAACATTTATAATCTTATGATTTTTAACGTGTGTGTTGCATTTTATATCTTATGTGTATACTTCTGCTTCTTTTTATATACGTGTTATAATACTATTATATGTTTTATAATATATTTGCTTATCATATTGTGTTGTATATCCTAAATAAGATTGGAACACAAAGTGTTATGTGTTTTATCGAATGTGATTGGATTATACGAATCGAATCTATTATATAAATAATAATCACATGAAATCGCTGAGCGTATCACGACATAAATGCTTTAATCTGATATAATCGTATGTACTCCTGAAATGTTGATCAAATAACTGTAATTGTATCAAATTTAAATGTCTAGTCGATTTTACTAACACGTTTAACCCTTCTTTAATAATCATGTACTCGTTTCAATGTTTTCTGAATCATTTATTACGTACTTTCATAAAAATATCACAAAATTGCTTCGAACTCCCATTATTTAAACACTTTAACAAACATTTACGTTTTGAAAATAAAAACTTAGGCAAACAGTTCTAAATATTAAACTATCAACCGCGCATGAACGTTACTATTTTAACACAGCTGAAACATGTATACCTTTACATAAATAATTTAATACTCAATTCATTCCCAGCGGTTGAACTTCATAGGTAGATTTTTCGAAACCTTACAAAGGTAGCATTCAACTTGTCCCTGATTTTAATCTAGATCGCCGTGTGTAAAATATGTATCAAAGGGATCATTTTAAAGTTTCGTAGGCTCCAGGTACTGCATCTATTGTACTCTACGAATAATAATGGCCTGTTCAACGTTAATGTATGTAGAGTCATATATTCACTTGGTTGAAGTGTATATTCCTCTAGCCATTAGCATCATTAAAAATATGATGCAGGAGATGAAATATAAATATAAACTCGAGCAATCTAATTAAAAATGAAAAGGTAGCTTTCGTATCGCGTAAATGCAAGTCTGCCATGATCGATAAAACTGAATTTTAAGACTT